TTACCCAGAATCTGATTATGATACATGGCGCAGCACTGTGGAGTATTTACTCTCGGATCCCAATGTATCCAACCAGCAGAAGGTCAGGAGGTCATTGAAAACCTAGCCCCACATGCTGCTAAAATTGTAAAGCACCTTGGGCCAAATTCAACCCCTCATGACTACCTGAACCTACTTGATTCAGCATTTGATACGGTTGATGATGGAGATGAACATTTGCAAAGTTTCTTAATACCAATCAAAACCCAGGAGAAAAGCCATCTGAATATTTACAGCACTTACAAATAGCCCTGAACAAAGTAGTCAAAAGAGGTGGCATAGTTGCCAATGACTTAGATCGTCAATTGCTGAAGCAGTTCTGCAGAGGCTGTTGGAATAACAGTATCATTACAAGCCTTCAGCTAGAGCAGAAGAGAGACAAACCACCCCTGTTTTCTGAGCTACTTTTAATGCTCAGAGTAGAAGAGGATAGATAAGCAGCTAAGTCAAGCCGCATGAAACAACATTTTGACACTTTCCAAAGCAAAGCTCAGACAAACTCACTCGTTGTAGATGAAATGTCTCAGTGCACATACAGAGGCTGAAAGTATTATAGAGCATCCCAACCCAGATTTAGAACACACTAAGCCACTCATTTATTCTCACACACTGAAAACAACCAAACACCACTACCAAAAGGCCTTGTAGGTCAGAAATACACAGCTAACGTCACAGTAGCAGGAGTCCTGTGTAATTGTCTCCTGGACTGTGGGTCCCAGGTGACCACTGTGTTTTCATTTTTCTATCGTGCAAACCTGTCAGAACATCCCATTCACCCTATCTCATGTCTAGATGTTGAGGCCGCCAGCGATCAGAATGTCCCATATTTGGGTTATGTAGAGCTAAGCTTAAAGTTAACCAGAGACTTTGTTAGAACAGAGTATCTACTTTGGCTTTAGTTGTCCCAGATGTGCATTCAAACTGTGATCTGCCAGTCCTTATCAGTACTAATGTACTTGATGTGGTCTATGATGAGGGCGGCTGTGGCTGAGTGGTTAGAACAGTTGTTCTCCAATGCGAGAGTTGGGGGTTTGAATCCACCAGCAGTCACATGTCGAAGTGTCCCTGGGCAAGACACTGAACCCCTCATAGCCTCTGATGTGTGTCCCATCAGTGTATAAATGTGAGTTAAAGCACTGATTAGTCTCATTAGAATGATTTGTTCAATTAGCTTTGTATAGATCTAGTAGAGTGCTGTATGAATGGGTAAATGAGGACACAGATTGTAGTGTAAAGCACTTTGAGTATCTTGAAATAAGATAGAAAGGCGCTATATAAGTACAGTCCATTTACCATGAGTATTGTGATGGATAAGACCCAAATGAACTGTCCCCAGTCTAGGGCTATAGGCAAATCTTCCGAACACTCAGGTTGAGGAAAACTATGAATTCAACACTATGAATTCAACTGGAAAAGTTGGCTCAATGATGGTGAAAAGCAAAGTGCCACAAGGCATTCCTGCTCAATGAAGAGTTCTTCTGAAAGGCTATGTCAAAGCCAACAGTACTGGCAAATGTGCAATTGTGGAGCAGTCAAATTCCTCTTCACTGCCGGGTGGAATATTTGTGGATTGTTGTCTTGTGAATTTACCTGAACAGCGACCCGCAGAAGTTACCCGTTTGGATTAGGAATGAGACAGAGCACAACATAACATAACACTTCCCAACTGTTGTGTATTAGCAGAACTTCACACCCCAGAGCACATCTATGATCATTTACCTGATACAACTAGTGGGAGGAATTCAGTCCAATGCTGTGCTGCTACCATTAAGACCACAAACAAACGTCCAAGTCTGACTTAACCTTTGAATTTGGTGAGTCTCCTCTTTCAAAAGAATGGAAGGACAACATAACAAAGAAACTGAATGAATATGGAGATGTATTTGTCTGCCATGACTTAGACTTTGGCCATGCAAAAAAAGTCAAACACCACATAAACTTACATGACAACACACCTTTCAAACAATGGCCTCGCCCGATTCACCCAAATGACTATGAAGCTGTGAAAAATCACTTACAAACTCTACTGGACGTAGGAATAATTTGTGAATCTGAATCCCCTTATTCCTCCCCAATTGTAGTGGTGCAAAAAAAGAATGGGGAAGTTTGCTTATGTATTTGTGACCTGAGGTACAATCACTGTTAACTATAGTGAATGTAGGAGAACCTCATTCTCCCTTCTTCACACAAATAAGTTTGTAAAAATTAACAGAGGCATTTCTTGCAAGTAAGATACATTTTATTTGGTTCACAAGAAAATAAAAATAACCCTGGTCTAAGGGCTAATGTACTCACAATAGAATCTTAAATAGTTTATTATACAGAATAAAAATGAAAGTTAAAACAGAGGGCTATGTTGGCCCTGGGAACCTCTTAGCTGAATGTAGTTAAAACCAATTTAAAATAAATTAGATAGTTTGGCCTGTGATGGACTTGCGACCTGTCCAGGGTGTCCCCCGCCCCTCGCACAGTGATGGCCGGACATGGGCACCAGCGACCCCCGTGACCCAAAATGGAAGAAGCGAGTAAAAGATAATGGATGGATGGATAGATAGTTTGGGGGAGAATAAAAAAAAACAAAATAAATAAATACACCTAAGTGTTCCCCAACAGAAATAAAACTCCCCTTCCACTAATCTCTTCAATCTAATAAAAACAACTTTGAATCAAGGGACAGCGTAGGTCCCCTTTAAAAAAAGCTAGAAAGCTGAACACTAAAATTTCCCTTTCCTTTACCCAAAATAAAATCTGGGAAATGGTCTAAATTAATAATAAAAACTACTGAGACTAAACACTAATTAAAACCAAACTGAAACAGTAGCAGGCCAACCTGCACAGAAAAACAACAAACCAAGTTAGACCAGCACCTTAAATAACCACACACAAATGAGAATGATCAGCTTTACCTCCTGATCATTGAAACCAGTCAATGTGTGCTCCTCGTGCATCACTCCCTCTAAAGGGGATCTAACCCTTAAAACCAAAAGGAGCAATTAAGATAAAACAAAGCTCCAAAAAGGGGCAACATCCAAAACAGATACCTCTGCCAGGATCAGTGTCAAATCAGCTCAAATCATGGGATCTGATCCTCAGCCATCTACCTGCTCGTAAATCCATGCACCTGCCCTCATAACGAGCCAGCTGAGCTCTGTCACAGCGTCCTCCATATATGGACTTACTTCCGGTAGATGAGGTGCCCCAGCTACATATTGATTATCATAAGCTCAACAGCCTGACAGTACATGATGCATATGCACTTCCCAACCTTGAAGAGGCCTTTTCTGCTCTCTCTGGCTCAAAATGGCTTTCGGTAATGAACCTTAAATCAGGCTTTTACCAAACTGAGATGGAGGAGAGTGGCAAGCCAAAAACCGTCTTTGTCTGTCCGTTGGGGTTCTATGAGTTTAATTGCATGCTCAGAGCATTACCAACTCCCCTAGTACCTTCCAATGCTTAATGGAAAAGTATGGGCAACCTACACCTTAAGGAAGTGCTAGTCTTTTTGGCGACAGTGTTTTCTAGCTCATTAGAAGAACATGAGTCCAGACTTATACACGTCCTCCAGCAACTAAGAGAAAATAGCTTGAAACGTTCTCCATCTAAATGTCAGGTTTGTTCAAACATCTGTCAAGTATTTAGGCCACATTGTTTCGAGCAAGAGCAGCACGGTGGCGCAACTGGTAGAGCTGCTGCCTCTCAGCGAGCAGGTCCCTGGTTCAAACCCCGGTCCAGGGGCCTTTCTGGGTGGAGTTTGCATGTTCTCTCCATGCATGCATGGGTTTTCTCCGAGTACTCCGGTTTCCTCCCACAGACCAAAAACATGCATGTTAGGCTGATTGGTAACTCTAAATTGTCCCTAGGTGTGAGTGAGAGAGTGAATGATTGTCTCGTTTGTCTCTATGTGGCCCTGTGATGGACTGGAGACCCGTCCAGGGTGTACCCCGCCCCTCGCACAGTGATTGCTGGACATGGGCACCGGCGACCCCCGTGACCCAAAATGGAATAAGCGGGTAAAGAAAATGGATGGATGGATGGGTTACTACCACAGATTTGTCCATAACTACTCCAAGATAGTAAAGCCCCTAAACAACCTTACTGGAGGCTATCTGCCTTTCAAAAAGGGCAGAAAAGCTACTCCTTCCTGGGTAGGGTGCTACAATCCCAGGGAGCTCCAAACAAATAGGTGGACCTCCAACTGCCAACAAGTATTTTTTTTTCACAAAGGGAGAAAGAGCTCTGTTTAATTTGTCTTGTTTTTTTTTTTTTGTTTGTTTCAACATTTTTGAACAAAGTCAGTTTCTAAATGCTTTGTTGGGAAGCAATAAAATAATCAGTTCAGCATTCAGTTAGTGTGACTTATCATTACTCTTGGCAGAACCTAGTAGATGTTTAGGGCCTGTCTCCAACTGGTCCACTTTAAGTGTGCTACACATAAATTCAGGATGGTTGTCTGAAGGAATTCATGATTTGACTTTACATTACTCTGATATTTTACTAACACGTGTATTGTGTACTGTTGCTACTCTTGTTGACCATTAAAACAACTTGTGATTCAAATTAATTTTTGTGTTTCATAATGAAAAACAAAGAACCCCTCCTTTTTGTCCTGATCTAATGTGTGGAGTGGTAGTAGCTGAGAGTGGTCCACCAGCCAGACTGAGCTCAAACAGACCAGCTGAGATCTCAGAATATCACATGAGATGGTTCATAATGTTATTTACAAGGTTTGACCAAAACATTACAAGTTTCTCATCACAAGATGATCTTAGTGTCAAACTGTGGGATGAAAGGCGGCGGGTGATATGCATTCCTTCAAGGAATGCTAGGCTTTGAATGGATTCAGTTTTTGTGTCTCTGACATCCAGTAAAACTAATTCTGTCCACTTCAATCATTTAGTTCATATTTCAGTTTGAACCTGCATCCTGCTGGCTTCAGCTCACATCTTTTATTCTTTATTCAGACTGGAGTGCTGCAATCTATCAGAGATCAGCTGTTCTTCTCTGGTCGCAGCTCTGAAGTCCAACCCCTCCCATCTGACACAACTGGACCTGAGTTACAACAACCTGCAGGCTCCAGATGTTCAGCAGCTGTTTGATCTTGTGGAGAGTCCCGACTACAAACTGCAGACTCTGGGGTCAGTAGATGTCATTTGAAAGTTTTCAATAACAATATTTCTGATGATGTAGGAACAAAATCAACCTCCAGGTTTCCTTCAACACAACATCATGGTGTCGTCGCTCTACAGTGAACATCACGATGTGACTCTTTTTCCATCAGGCTGAAATTTATACCAGTATTATCGTGGACAATATGATCTGACAGCCCTGGTCCAGACTGCTGAAGTCTACTCATCACATCTGTCCAGATGTGTTCAGTGACAGCCTCTGTGTTTCTTAGTCAGCTGATGTTTCAGAACCAGATGAGTTGTTCATCACCACACAGAGTTTGTGTGTTGAAATGGATCAGCAGTTGACACGTAACAGCAGGAAATCCCTCCCTCCAGTGTTTGTGCAGTGATGAAGCTTCATGACTCTCAGCACTTTGGTTCCTCTGTTGAGTGAAAGCTGCAGAGGAAACACACTTGATGCTGAAAGTCTCTGCAGGTGTGTGAGCTTCACTCCAACACGTGAACATGAAGCTCCACAGCTGCTCTGAACAGGACTGGAGTCCTGCTGCTCTTTCTACTGGATGATGCTGCATGACTGACTGACAGCTGATGGAGAGGCTGCAGACAGGAAGTTAGCTCCTCTCTCACTCTCTCTTCTCTCTGCAGGTGGAGGTGAAGATCTTAGTGGAGGAAAGAAGAGCTGATGATCCACAGAGGTTGAAGCTGCAGCACGTCGTTTGATAAGAAACTGATTGGATCCTGATGATGATGAACTTTGATCTTTTTATATTTATATTATCTGTGATAGGTTGATGACTGCTCCTGTGTTGTATTTACTTTGAACCAATCAAGTTAAAGTCAAGGTTAAAGAAATCATTCAGATTATCTGTAAATGAAGCTAGAATCACTGTTTTACAGAAAGATCTTTCTATTTTCTTTTCTTCTTTTTAAATCAATTAATTAAAATTTGATCAAGTTCTTTCTCAATCATTCATTCAACCTTTATTTAAACAGATAAGTCACATTGAGCCTCAAAGACTCATTTACAAGTGAGACCTGTTTGGACAGAAAATAAAAAGTGGTGAAAAATGACACATAGGGTTTGGAGACAAAAAAAATTCCTAACACGCAGTTCTGTCTCAGTTTCTTTGATCCAAAACAATCTGAGATGAACTTTGAATTTTCTTACGATTTCAGTTTTAATCTGAAAGGTGGCCGGTGACATGCATTCATGGAACTGTGGGATGTGTCTTCTCCCTCTTTCATCTCTTCTCTCCTGTAATGTTTGTTCTCAGTAGAAGCGGACCGTCTGTCTTTGCTCCTGCAGAAACAGAATCTTCATGTTTTGGTTTGAAACAGAACCGGTTCAGTAAAATCCACTAATCAAACCAGCTTTAATTAAAGCGTTCCTTGTAGAAATGCATATCACCCGCCTCCTTTCAAACCCCAGTTTCACACTAACATCACCCTCAGTTTATAATAGAGTATAGATTCTACATGAATATTATAGATCATGAATAGATATGAGATTATAGCTGTACCACATTTACATCAATTATAAATATAACATAAATAATATACACAGTCAACAGATACTATAACCTAGATATCATTTAATTTATATTATATATATTTCTATGTGTTTCTATCAGTTATTATGAATCAACATGTGGTTATTACACTTCCTGTCAGTAGAGGGCACACGTGAGATAAACAGATTTTATTTGATTAGTTTTAAATTAAAATGTTTACGCCCGTTTCACAGACAAGACTTAAGGCTAGTCCCAGACTACAGTGCTGTTTGAGCTGGTTTAGACCTGCACAGCCTGATCTTAAAATAGTCCCAGATTTAGTCTGTTCTGGATTAAAACCAGAGAGAAATATGACAAATAAATAAAGTGTTTTTTGAGCATTTATTAAAATAAAAACTTCACTGTCATAGGAACCGTTAAGGTTGTTTCGTCCATGTGAACATGTTAGGTGCAATGTGTTGATGGAGCTCAGTGTGTCCATTCTTTCATTCGGCCTGCCGTACAATGGCTTGATTCAATTTCAAATTCCCACCGATCAGCTGTGCAGACTTTTGTAGAACTAAATGTATGCAGAGCTGTGGGTGATGCTATATAAATATTCTGTGTGGTTTATGATAATACCGTCTTGAAGAGCCAGTCTTAAACAGTTTCTCTTCAAGTCACTTCAAATTAAACAGCTTTATGAAAATTGGCGCAGATCACATAGGTCTATTTAGAGCTGTCATTTCTAACCCGGGCCAGAAGCCTGACTAACCCTACCTGAATTTGGGGTGGGCCAACTTTCTGATTGTGTCAGCGGATCAGCCGCAATCTAATTACTGTATATGGCAACGTGGCTTGCCATAAAATCCAATATATGTCAACATGGCTTGCCATACTTCCACCAGCCGCACACAACCATATCACCGTGAGCTGAGCGGCCTCAAAAGACGTAAAGGAAAGTTCAGTTAAGCTTCAGATGGGTCTATACTGCCAGAAAGCAATCCATCGCCCAAATGGACGTTCATTCAGCTGCTGCACTCAGCAGATGCACGCAGCCGACGACCCAAACAGGTGAGATCTCAAAGCAGACATGTCAGAGCAGGGTCTATGTCTGAATAATGCAGAATGCAGGCAGGAGCAGGGATTTAATGAGCTGTGACAGCCATGAAAGTACAAACACCCCCTCAGCTCTGATCTTCTGCTAAGATGTGACAGGTGTAGCATTTTACAAAAAACAAATGGCTGCACACAGCCTCACAAGGGTCTCACATCCAACTAATGAGAGATGGTTTTATTATAGAAAACATTTGCCTGCACATAAACCTGCAATACCAAATACATTGCTGCAAATTTAACATAATATAATAAAAGACATTTAATAAGTATAATAAACTCAAAATAACAACATTAGTGTTGAAGGCTCACTTTGACATACTTAGCTCCGTGTTTGGTGTCAAAATTCAATTCAGTTCAATTCAGTTTATTTATATAGCGCCAAATCACAACAAAGTTGTCTCAGGGCACTTTACAGGAACATTCACATAAAAGCCAATTAGTAAAGTTCTCTATCTAAGGAATCCAGCAGACAAGTTGAATCTTGGCTTTGTTGCAGTCTCCCATCCTGAGCAAGCACAGTGGCAACAGTGGAAAGAAAAACTCCCTTTTAACAGGAAGAAACCTCCAGCAGAACCAGGCTCAGGACAAGAGACCATCTGCTTTGACCGATGTAGATTGTACTCTGACGATCGCCACTGCCTCATAACACAAGACATAGTGGTTTCTCACCTTGAAGCACAAACATATATTCACCTTCACATCTTTCTTGAAACAGCCTTCATCTGCATCAATTTTTCTCTTCTTGGACATTTTGGGATCATTGTTTGTATTTCTCAATTCCACTTGTTCAGAAAATGATACTGATGTGGAAAAACTGCAATCTAGTGGTGGGATGCTGTTACTTCACGAGTCACATAATCGGCATGCTTCTTGGGAAATGTAGTTGTCAGTGCACCCTTGTGACTTATTTATTATACGACAATCAGACATTTTAAGCTCTCGTGGGCCACATAAAATGACGTGGCGGGCCACATCTGGCCCTCAGGCCTTGAGTTTGACACGTGTGGCACTGACGAACAACCTGTTGCTCTCCGACATGCAACACATGCAACACATGTTCAGGGTTTGGTTCCCAGCTCTGTTATTTCCTGTATTTGAGTGTATCACAGGAAGGCCTCCAGTTGAAGAACTCTCATATTTGTTGCATTAGGTCTCAGTCTCAGGACCTGGATAATCTGAAAACTAAACTTCTCATCCTATAAATGACACCAGACCCACTGCAGAAATATTGTTCACACTATGGGACCAGTTTAGTATATTTGTGTTAAAGCTGTCTAATATCAACTTTTCTCCTT